GCCGTTGGATTTTCCAAGACCATTTTCACCCTGGTTGCCATAGGTTTCCTCGATCGAGTCGGACGACGCCCGTTGCTTCTAACGAGCGTGGCCGGGATGATAGCCTCGCTTCTCTGTCTCGGTACGAGCCTCACAATCGTCGATCATGAAACCGAGAAGATGATGTGGGCGTCTGTTTTGTGCTTGACCATGGTATTAGCCTACGTCGGGTTCTTCTCGATCGGGATGGGGCCCATTGCGTGGGTCTACAGCTCTGAGATCTTCCCGTTGAAGCTACGTGCTCAAGGTTGCAGCATGGGAACAGCCGTGAATAGGATTATGAGTGGAGTCCTCTCAATGAGTTTTATCTCGCTGTATAAGGCGATAACGATGGGTGGGACCTTCTTTCTTTATGCAGGAATTGCGACGGTTGGTTGGGTGTTCTTTTATACAATGCTCCCGGAAACACAGGGTAGAACCCTTGAAGACATGGAGGTCTTGTTTGGCAAGTTCTGGAGGTGGAGAGAGGGCTATGCACTGCTCAGAAACAAAAGGGCCGTCGTATGTTAGTGAGTTTACTTGGGTGATATAGTATATGAAAGCACTTGAACTCTAGAGTAGGTGTTTGATTGAAAAATTGTTGTATGCGTCGGTTATATATTTGTCGCTACAAATGCTCCTATTAGAGAAGACAGTAGCGCTCGGCCTGGTCCCATTTTTGGAGGTCCGATGGTCGGGGAAGAAGCCAAGTCAATCATGGAGCGTGTCACTACTACCCATGAAATTTCTTTTATGAAGATTTGAGTACAAGTTAAGATGAAGAAACCATAGTTAAGATGAAATTTGTTATATATGTATTGTGCAAGTTTGTTCGCCAAATTTGTTTTCCATTTGTTGCTTTTATTTTATTTTATCTGTTTGTCAAAACAGTGAGATACAATATGGTGATGATAATTGATATGAATATTATTTAAATATGACAAACTTGTGTTGTGTACATCATTGACACCCAACCGCAAGACATATTGCTGCTGTTGAGAGTAACAACTTTTCTTTTGCAAAAGAAAGCCATCTTCACACAGACGCATATCACAACTTTTATGTGAGCGATCATGTGCTTTTGCTATATGAGCTCTTTTCATTTTGGTGGTGAGCATTATCATTATATTAAATTATT